AGGCAGCGACTGTATTTCATCCAGTTTCTATTACTTAAAAGACTGTTTTACTTCAGGCTTTAGAAAATATATGCATATTGTTATTAGGTGTACTATTCCTGACAAACATGTGAAAGCAGTGGCACAAAAAATAAATTCGGGAAAAAAAAACACAAAAACTAACCACACCACTCTCTGAGTGTAGTTCCTGATGGTCAAGTGAAGATACTTGTGAATATCTTTTTTAGTACAATCTCAGATATCTGGCTAGTATCAGAAAGGGTTGGGCAATAGATTTTCCAAAGAAGTATGTTCCAAATACTTTGCTTAGGTTGGCAGAAGAAAAGTATTTGCTGAAAACACTACGCTGGAGTGTTAACTCCAGTACATAACTGACCAGTCCAAAAGACTCTCCAGCCTTATTGTAGTTACCTAATCTTCCTGGTTCCTTGAATCTCAATTCTGAAATAAACTGAGAGATGCAGAATGTTAAAAGAGCAGACAATGGACTAGATATTGTGTATCTGAAAATAATAATTATTAGAGATACAATCCTTTTTTATTAACTCAAAATTCCATTTTATTTTGAATATCATGAGATCTAGTGACTTTAAATAGGTATGTCATGCAAATAAATGAAATATAAACAAAATATTATGATTTGCAGTATTACCTAGTGGGATTACTTTAGATTTGTAAGCAATAAAACGTAAATAAAAGCCTGCATGTTAAGTCTTAAATCAATTCAGTAATTTTATTGAAATCCTGGTATAAAGTACAACAGGAGATATACGTACAAGTAATGATATTTGGCAACAACCCCATTTATTTATGAAACATGAATGAGGCCAGAGGTTCACCTGAGGTGTATTCAGTCATGTGTAATCAATGTCACAGACAAAATTTTTATCTACACACAAACACACTTAAGTTTAGCTGGCCTTAAGTGATGAATAACCACCTTTGAAAAAGTTGAACACGTTTTGTTTGACTCAGGCTAATTAACTTTTAGCATCCATAGCCAAACCTCAGTTTTTGATCAGTTCTCCCACTTTAATACAGTATTTCAGCATTGCTATCTGTTAAATATATGCATTTTATGTTACTAATTCAAATGCAAGAAATAATTAAGATCAAACATTTTTCTTCCCCTGTCAATCTCAATCTAATTTTGATTGCAGACCTCTTGCAGTATTTTGACATTTTATTATGAGTTATTTGAAATCTAAATTGTAAATGTGGTGTAATGTGGAAACATACGGTAAAGAATTTATTTGAGGTAGCCACACAACTAACTTTAAGTTCCAGCGGAACCTGTACCCATAAATGAAAATATCAGTTATCTTCAGGGATGGCTCAAGCCATGTACCTCTCCTCGTACTGCAGTACTTACAGCTCCTGACTTCCAGTTAGTGTACATATCACATTGTTACTACCCAAATACCTTTGTGTTTCAGCAGACTTCAGGATAGTCAGTGCTCAGCCCTCTGCATAGCTGTTACTATCTTTATAAAAGATGGCTTCATATAGATACAAACTTTTCAGAGAGTGCTTCACGCAGATCTTATAAGGGCTGAAGCAACCTGGAACAAACTTTGATTAGTCTCTGCCTCATGTTCTGCCCTCACAAACTCTACCCAAGGCATAGGAAGCTACCAACAGATGTGAGAGTCACCTTCAGTAAGGCAACTAAATAGAAATCTTAACATTACAGTTTTCTACTGCCCTCATTTTTATACCATGCAAATTTGCTCTAGCTGCTCATTAAACTGTTTAGGAAGAATGAAGGAGAAATATGGACTGCTGATTGTAATAGAGTCCTTGAGTAATGCATAATGATTTCTAGTCTCAAATTATGGTCGGTTCTATTTTGCTCAGGGGATCCATTGCAGCGTACCAGCTTTTGTGTTGGAGCATGGAAATTGATAGAGTTAAATGAATGTAAAATCTCTGCAACAGAGAAGAGATTCAGCCTTAGAGCTGGAAAGCAGTTGACTGTAGATCTTTCAGGGGGTAAGATCCAAATGCCCTCAAGGATAAGGAAGTTTGGAACCAAGTGGTACAGGTTGCTTCTATGTCTTATCTGTAGCCTGTGTTTAAAATACGTACTTCAAAGAGAAGGGGTGTTAAAGTAATCAATATTAAAAGCTTCTGCCTCAGTAGCAGAGTGAATAGTAGATTGTTTTACATGCATCGGAACTGTTAATTGTGTAATTGCAAAATACAAGATCCCATTTGGGGAAGGCAAGAAGATGTGCCAGCTAAGCAGAGGCCTAACACTGAAGAAGAGGCTAAAGCAAGAGGGAGCTTCCCTGACTAAACATGTTCTTTAAAATGAAAATATATAGTGAAGATTAGATTTTAATCTCTTTTTTTATTGATCTCTGTCTAGCTCTGGAGATTTGTCTCCTTCTCCTAACAAAGAAGTTTGTGCTAATTTATTGTATTAGCACTGTTTGTGTGCTGAAAAGCCTAAAACAACTGTGTGACCTTGGAAAAATTTATGACTGCAGTCTGAGACTACAGGACATTGAATAAGTTTCATAAGTGAAAAACAAGGGGAACCATAAAGAGGCCTTAGAAGTCATCACTTATCACCCAAGAAAAGTTCAGGCTCCTTGTAGTCAAATCAGATTAATAATATTTGTTGAATGCCAGTATACCTAAAGTGATAAAAGATATTGAATAAGCATTTGTCTGATTTAATAAGTAATCCAATAATGATTATACCAGCTGAGCTTAAGTTCCTTCATTAGTTAGTGTATGTTTTACAGGTTTGAGCCTAGCATCTAATCTTGTTGTAAATGTGCTGATGTAAATTTTAGCTTTGCTCGTCAGAAGAAATATTTTATGAAACAAGGAAAAGTTATATTTTGAAAACCAGATTAGGCAGTTAAAATCTGAAGTGTGGGTTGTGTATGATAGGGTGGTAGATAATATTTTGTAGTCTAGCAGTAGAAAAGTTGTCTTAGGATTCATAGGTCCTGTTATTGATTCCTATCACCAATCTATTGTGCAGTGTTGTCCAAACCATGAAGAACACAACTTTTGGTACTTTTGAACAAATAAAATGGCAGTCAATACCAGGTTTGGGAGGGAAGATAAGTTTACAAATCACTCCTATAAACTCCTCTGCACTTCATTTGCTGTTTGTGAAGTACATTGGAAAGCACTCTTTTCCCTGAGATGATCAGGAATTTAATATTGCCAG